GGTTTAGTCGGGGCGCAACCCTAGTCCTAGGAATAAACAAAAAATAAGTTACCAAAACTGCAATATCTGCTTGTGCAGCACCAGAAATCATATTTGGAACGAACGATTTGTGTCCGGGAGCATCCAGAATTGCAAAATGCTTCTTCTCCGTCTCAAAATAGGCACGTCCACATTCAACAGTTTTTCCCTTTTCACGCTCTTCCTCGTCTATTTAAAATTAGAAAATGTTAATTTTATAAAGCAAACAGACTTGTATCCAATGCCCACGACAAATACCAACTTTCACGTCCCTTTTCTTTTGCTTCTTTTTCGTATTTCTCTAAGGTTCTTTTGTCGACCATTCCAGTAAGATACATAAGTTGACCTCCAATAGTTGATTTTCCAGCATCGACATGTCCAATAAAAACAATATTAACACGTTCTTTCCGCGATTCGGTGGTCATTCTTAAACCTAAATGATAAAATTAATGTCAAAAAATAAAAATAAGTAAGGAAAAAAAAGAAAAATAAGGCCAACCACAGCAATATAAAACCGTTGCGCACGCGCAAAAACTAGCTAACTCTCACTCTCCTTATTCAATTGCATCTCTAGTGCGTCTGACTTTGTTTCGTGTCCGAACAAAATATCGAATCGCTAAAATATCGAATTGTTAAAATATCGACACAGCCAAAATGTGTTAAAATGTCGACTTCCTTTTAAAGTAGGGCAAAAACTTGAGCACGCCACTTCTCAATCAGGAAATCGCGTTATTCTTTCCGGATCCGCACGCTCATGCTGGACCGGATTCTTTGTTTTTTGATTAATCCGTTCCAGCTAACCCCTTTTTACCCATATCGAGATTTTAACAAGCGAGATTTTAACGATTCGATTATTTGTACCGGAGCCCCTTGTTGTAAATAAGAAAAACGGTAAGAAGTGAGACAAAATATATAATGGTCAGAATCAGATAAATTATGAATGATTTAATTTTTTAAAAGTTTGTTTTCTGGTTTTTTTTGAAAAATATTTTATATCATTTAAAACTTTTTTCTTCTTTCTTTAGTTGCTTGCTTATTTTATTATTTTTAATTTAACAAAAATATGCCAAAAACAACCCAAAAGAAATATATTACAAATCAATTAATACAAACACTTGTAGAGGAATTGGAAGAGGGACAATTTGTTGCAAAAATTTTGGCTTCAAGAGGAAATAATTTACACGAAGTGGAGAGCTTTAATGGAGAAAATTTTTTAGTGTAAGTTTATTTAATTGTTTAAATTTGTGTAAAAGTATTTTTAATTTTCGGGTATTAAATATGAGTTTAGAAAATTCAACTTTGGCGTTCCAAACGTTTTTTTCTACCTATATTTTTTTGGCGCCGCAGGCAAATTTTTTTTTAATTTAGAAGGCAACAAAAAAAATTTCACTTTTTTTGACCATCCTTTTGCCAATTTAACCCTCCCCCCATCCCCCAACCCCGTTGAACCATCCATTTCCATATTTGGCTTATGAAGAGGAATTGGAAGAGGGACAATTTTGTAGAATACAATATTTTTTTATAAACAAATTATAGAAGTATGCCTTCAAGATTTCGTCGAACACTTTGGGTTAGACGTGGAAACTTTATTATTGTTCAGCCAATAGAAGAGGGAGACAAAGTTAAAGCAGAAATTGTGCATGTTTTGGATATTGAAAATATTTCTAATTTAATAGAAAAAGGCAAATGGCCAGAAAGATTTTTACAAGAAGGAGAATTATTAACTAAAAGACGAAAGAAATTTGATGAAAATGGAAAAGAAGAGGATGAGGATTCTAGTATGTTCCCTCCAACATCTTCAGAAGAAGACGAGGATGATAATGAGGCTGATGAAGGTTTCTTAAAAGTTTTTTGCCTCTTAATTGCTTTGAACCGGCGCGGGATGGGAATGCGACGGGATTTTTTGGGATTTCTCCCTTGGGATCCCGTCCCGGCATCGGTTAAGAAAAAATCCTAACTCGGGATCCCGGATTTTCGATTTTGCCAGTCTCTAATTTGAATAACGTTTTAAGTATTTTTTTAAATGTTCTTGTTTTGGTTCGAATCCTATTTACTTTCTGATGCCAAACCTTTTTTTATTTTATTCCAGAATTTGTTCTTTAAAAATTTCTTATTTTTTCATAAATTTTTATTTTTAGCTGATAATGAAGACAACGACAATTCTGAAGTATATGACGAAGATGAATGTAATGATGACAAAATTGAAGATGACAAAAATTTTCAAAGTATTTCTTCAAAATAAATAAAAATTTTATTTATTATAGATTTCTAAAAGACAAATTATTTATTTAAAATTTTGTTTTCAATTTCTTTATTTTTTTCGACATCTTTTCTTTGGTTTAAATTCTTTTTTAAATACAGTTATATTTTTATTATTGTTTTTCTTTAACAAAAATATACTTTTTATTTTCTAATACATATATTTTTATTTAAAATCTTTTTTAGAAAATATTTTTTTTAATTTGTGTAATTATGGGAAACAGTAATGCTTCTTTAATGCTTCAAGAAGAAGAAATTGTTGATACTGCAAAGGAGACTGGATGTTTGTTTCTCTGTTTAATTTATTAAATTTTATTTTTTTAGTTTCTCGCAACCAAATTGTTCGTTTGTACAGCCGTTTTCTTTCGTTAGACAGACAAGGTTTGTTAAAGTTTTCAGTAGGGTTGTACGAGGCTGGTTAAGAACCTCGTTTATTGTTCCCGGTGGCTGGTCAAGAAGAGGAGAGAAGGGAAAAGTCAGCCACAGGGAAAAATAAACCTCGAATTAAACGGTCTCGTCCAATCCTAGTTTTCAATTAAAAATTTTTAAATCTTTCCACAGGTCGTGGTTATTTGGACCGTGAAGATTTTCTTCGAATTCCCGAACTTGCAATAAATCCTTTGGGTGATAGAATTGTCGATGCTTTTTTTACTGATCATGGAGTTAATGACCCTGAGACTGATGCGCGTATTAACTTTCGTCAATTTGTCAAAGTGCTTGCACATTTTCGTCCAATGAGTAAATCAAAGCCTAATATTGTTAATAGCCGGGAACAAAAGTTAAAATGTAAGATTCTTTTATTTTTGCTGATATTTTTAATTCTTTTTAAAGTTGCTTTTTCAATGTATGATTTAAACAAAAATGGATATATTACACGTGATGAGTTTAAATTTATATTGAACATGATGGTTGGCTCTAATATTACACCTGATCAGGTTCTTTTTAAACTTTATTTTAAATATATTTCTGGGTTGTTTCATTTGTACTTTTTTTGTAAGACTGGTTTTGAATCCTCCCGTAATTTTTTAAACTGGCAGGATCAATCCCATGGGATCCCGTCCTGTAAAATTAGAATTTTGGATGTTCCGAAAATTCAATTTTGCTGGGCTCAAACTCCTGTATAATTTCTTCGAAGATTTTGAAAAATATTTTTTTTAATTAGCTGGATAGTATTGCCGATCGTACAATAACTGAGGCAGATGCTGACAAGGATGGGAAAATTTCTTTTGAAGAATTTTGTAAAGCTATGGAACGCACTGATGTTGACCAAAAAATGTCTATTCGTTTTCTTAATTAAATGAAAATTTGAAGAATGGAAAGGATGAGAAGGAGACAATATTTTTAGGTTGTGAATTAAAGACTATTTTTTAAAAAATGATTTTTTAAAAGTGTAAGTATATTTTTGCTTAAGTATTAATTCAAAAATGTAAAAAATATAAAAATTTAAATGATTTTAAAAATTATTTCCGTCAATCAGTTTCAGAAAATAATATTTTTATTTTCTAAAATTTATTTAAAAGGAAAAAAATAAATCGCTAAAAAATTTTTAAATTCTCAAAAGTTTTGCTGCTTCTTGTTTTGCAATTTCTTCCAATTGTTGTTTAACAACTTCTCGGCGCATATCCAAAAATTCTTTATATTCATCCGGATCCAAATCCTCATATTGTATTTTAATTCCAATTTCTGAGGCTCTTTCAATAACTAGTTGGCAAATTTCCTTTAAAAAATTTTTTTTATAAGATGGATATTTTGACAGATTAAAATACTTCAGACCTCACTTTAAGACAACCCCAAAATTAGGTATTCCTCAACATAAGATACGAGTTTTACAATTTATAGTTAGTTGGCCAATGGATGACGAGATGTTCAAGGGTGTGCCCATAAGTTCCAAGAATATGTCTTATAGCGAGGTCCCACCACATTTTTAATTAAAAAAAAGAAACCTTTAATGGAACACCAATCATAGCTTTATCAGTCGATTTAATTTTTGCAATTTCATAAATGTGTTTTACAGAAAGTTTTCCGGTAATCTCACCTAAAAAGAAAATTTTTAAAAAATTGTTAAAAAGTCTCTGACCGTCTTCCTGTTTTTCTCTTCGAATTCCAGCCGCCTGCATTAACAACCATTTTGTTGTAGGAGTCTCTATCTCAATTTCATATGTTCTGTCAGGTTTTACATGGACAGTAACAGGCAAAATTGTGGCTGTTTTTTGAGCAAATTAAATTTAAAGAAATTTTTTAGAAAAAACCGTTTTTAATGCTTTCAGTCACAGTATTAAATTCTTTGCAAAAATTCCCAACGTTGACACCTCTTTGCCCAAGCGCTGGTCCAAGAGGGGGTGCAGGAGAAGCCATTTGAGCTCTTAAAAATTATCAAAATTGGAAATAAATTATGAAAAACCTAATAGTTGTTTTTACTCTTGGATCTTGCATTGCTTTCACTAAATTTTCTCTTTTTGTTAAAAGTGCCTTGTATGCTTTCCAGGCTGACATCCTTGTCTATATTTTAAAGAAAATTTTAGGTCTGAAAAAATAGTAAAAAAATTTAAGAAATACAAGAAACTCCGTTAAAAATCCTCTCACGTCTCTGCTTGTTTGACTAGACTCTTATTGACTAGACTCTAGTGTTCTCTTTAGGACAAATTGTCATTTTAAAAACATAATGCCAAAATCACCCCCCAATTTAAAAATAATTTTGAAAGGTTACTTCAACTTTTTTTCCATTCAACTTATCGATTTTTCTCTCATTTGTCTTTCTTTTGTAGATTTTTCTCGCTAGAAATGCTTCCATCAAACCAGCAACAACCGCAACAGCAAAATCTTAACGGAGAACAATCGAGCTCATCGAATTTATTTAAAAATTGTTCAAAATCTCCAAGTGCTTATGATTTAAAAATTGCAAAGAAAAAACGTCAAAATAATAACAAAAAACCTGTTGGAAATAATAAAGAAGTTCATAAGTCTTCAGGTTTTTTTAAAGATTTTCTGAAAATTTTTACTTTATCAATTTATTTTTTTAGCTCAAATACCTGCAGGAAATACTCTAAATTCACCAAAAAAGGCGGCAATCAGAGTTGGATCTAATTTCCAAATTCTTTCACTTCCTGAACCTAATGGAGATAAAAATTCTGATAATGAAAATCCAACGGATTTATGTCTTTGGAAAATGCATCAAATGATTAATGATAGCCAAGTGGCTAATTATTGTATTGATGCTTATACAAATTTTGGAATTGAACCTGACAGGGTAAACTTTAAAATTTCTTCTTGAAAAGATTTTTATTTTACCGGCTTTGAAACCGACAATTATTTTCATCGGTAATCGTGAAAAATCTGATCCACTTTAAAAATTTGCTTGTTTGTTCTGAAAATAATTTTTATATGTAATCGACCATTCTGATCACGAATATGATATCAGATTTTAAAAAATCAGCATGGTCTTACCTATAAAAAATTATTTTTAGAAAAAACAAGCAAATTCTTTTTAGGTGAATCCCAGATTCTTCACAATTACCAGTTCATATTGAGACACCTTACATTTTAATGTCATTCAATCACAGTGACTTTACTTATTAGGGGAGGATACGTATTTAAGCATTTTTATGCCGAATTTAGACCAGTCAGTTTGGGCCGTTATGTCTTTAGAATAAGTTATGTAAAATATGAGCATCCGGATTTACTTTAATAAAATTTAATTTTTTTATTTTTTAATTTAAAGGCCCTCTACATTCTATACAAATCAGACTATGATTTTGAAAAATCTCGATTAGAATTGCATAACAAGCACATTTTTACTAGAGACTTCAGCAACGATGATGCTTATGCTTTTCGTAATGCCTTTACTTATTTTGGAAAGAATTTTGCCAGAGTTCGTCAAATTGTTGGTTTTTTTTAACTTTTAGAAATTTTTAAGAGTTTTATGAATTTTATCATTCAAATTTTTCAAAAAATTTTTAACAATGATTTTTTTGTAAATTTTATTTTTAAAGATTCCTCATAAATCGCTTGGCTCACTTGTTGAGCATTACTACAAAACTAAAAAGAAACAAAATTATAAATGTGGCTATAAAAGATATGTCGATATTGAGGCAAATTGTTCTTTTTCATCATCAGATGACGATAATACTGACAGGTATTTTTGAAATTTTTTCAAAATTTTTTCCAATTTTTTAAAGTAATTCTGATACGGTGTTTGCTTCCAAAAAAGTTTCTCAAAAAGTGACGGAAGAAGTCTGTCAAGTTTGTAAAGAAGTAACAAACAAAATATATTCAGTAACTGGATTAAAAGTCTGCAAAACATGTCATCTCTATTTTAGGTTTTTTAAATCTTTAAGGAATTTTTTGGGTTTTTTAAATCAAATGTCCGAAAATTGCGTACATAAAATTTTTTTTGACTTTTTTGTTATTTACCGATGTTTTTAAAATTTTAAAGATTTTCTGCAAATTTTTTGTTGCTTTAAACTTTAAATTACTTCTCTATTCTCTCTATTCTCTTAATTTTTCTGACCTATTTCACTAGATATGTGTCAAATTTCATAAGAAGGTTTCTGTCCGCTGATTTTTCTACTATAATTTTGAATTTAAAAAACTTTTTAAGAGTCAACAATCAACATCGAGTCTTTCCACAACCGGCAGAAGAACCAAAACGTCAAAAACTTAAATGTCCATTAGACATGCGTCAAATTTGCGATCAATTTGTTGATATGGCAAAATATGTGAATGTAGGTGATGATTCAATGGATGAAGAGATTACTGTTTTGGAAGGGAAAACTGTTTGTGAAGTTAAAATACAGTTAAGAAATTTTTTAAAATAAAAATTCGGAAATTTTTTTAAGAGAAATCGTAACAAACCAACAACTTTTAAAAGCTAATACAAAACGTTTAATTCAAAATATAGACCAACAAAAAAATTTTGAAGGATGTCAAAAATATTCTGTTGTGTCGGCATTGGAATTTTTGTCAAAAACACAAAATTCATTTAATTTACAAAAGCAAAACAAAAATGTAAATAATAAATTGTTACCACCGGAGAAGGAAGCTATTTTTCATGGTTTTTTAAATTTAATTTTTTTAAATAATTTTGAGGAAGGTCCACAAAAATAATTTTTTGCCTGAAAAATTTTTTAAAATAATTTTTTTGAAAAGAGAATGCATCAATTTAACTCTTACCAATCTTTAACAAAAATTTTTTTACAGCTTTAATTCAATTTGATGCTGATGAAAATATTGTTGCCCAAATTATACCAACAAAGACACCAGCAATGATTAAACAATTTTATTTGAAGTTTAAAGATATGATTGATGAGGTATTTTAATTAAAAAATATTTCAAAAAAATTTTCCGGGAGGGATAACTCATTCCATTTCAAAAAGGACTTTTTTTTAATTTTAAGGAAATTCATAAAAGAATTATGGAAACAGACAATTTTGATTTTAATGTACAGGGATGTAGCAATAATTCAAGTAATTCTAGTAAAGATGAGCCAGAAGTGATTGAATTGGATTAAAAAAAAGTATATTTTAAAAATATTATTTTTTAAAAGTCAATTCTGCTTATTTTTTAATTTATTGAATGATGAGACATTTCATCCTATTTTTCGCTTTATTCAAAAAATTTAAATTTATGTAAGGGGTGTCATTTATTGTTTTTCTCTGGTTGCTAAATATTTTTGACACTTCGAGAATAGACTTGTGTTAGGTTCATTTCCTTAGGTTCAGCCTATAACCGGAAAAGGTCTTGGCGACATTTAATCCTATCAAGAAAAAATCCTTTTGACCAAAACATTTATAGTAATTTATTTATGAGTGACATCTCCCAATTTTATTCTCTTTTTTGCTTTGATAAATTGAAAATTTTATTTCAATATTTTATATTGAAAGGAAAATAAGAAGATCCAGCTGGCTAGCATTTGAAACATTTACTAGGCGAGGGGGTTTAAGATGTATTAAAAGAGAAGCACCTGTACGTGGTAAAGGAAAACGCTTGGAAATAATTGCTAGGAGGATGCGGGATTGAGGCATGACCGAGCCTAAAATTTACCTTAATATTTTGTCTGATTTTTCCCAAAAATATCTTTTTTAAAAATTTAATCAAAAATTACAATACAAGTAATTAATCCTTTAGTTATTTGACAAAATTTTCTTTTTTCTTCTTCAAAATTAATTAAATTATTAAAATCCCCACTTTCTTCTTCCTTACAAAAAACTTTAAATTTTTCCCCAACAAATTTTCTTTCAACAGAACGGCGAATAAATCTTTTAGCAATTGAAAGGTTGTCACCAATTAAAGCATAATTTATTGCTTTGGCAAGGATTTTTGAATTACACTTTTTATTTATTAAATGGGAGGTTTTTGATGATAAAATACGTTTCTGAAATAAAAAAAATTTTTTTTTGAAAATTTCTTTGAAAAATTAAATTTTTTTTATCATTTTTAGGATTTATTTCAGTTATTATTGAGTTCTTAATTTTAAAATTTTACCCTTTTTATTTTCCTTCTCATTTTTGCCTCATTATTAAATGTTTTTGTAGCTAATATTTTTCTTCTTCGTTTTTTAATTTTATTCTTTTTTATTTTTGTTGATTCTTCATCATTTTCAAAAGATTCTTCTGGATATTCCAATTCTTCTTTAATTTTTTTATTTTTAGAATTTTAAATTTTTATTAAAAAAAAGCCCCTTTTTAACATTTAAACCGTGTTTTGAGGGGTTTAAGTCTTTTAAATAAAAATTTAAAGACAGCTGTTACGATGGCTCAATCGGTAAGGGTCTTGATTTAGTGGACAAAGAAAGGGGTTAGGCCATGGGTTCGATTCCGGTTGCGGGTAAACTTTTTTTCAAATTATTTTAAAGTGATTTTTAAACAGAAGATTTTATTCTGATGTTTTTTTCTTTTCTAATTTTTTTCTATTTATTTAAAAAATATTACTGTATCTCCTCTACCTTGTTGATTATCATTTCTTTTCTCAACTTTGACAGGTTCCGTTGCATTGCTTATTTTTGTTTCGTTTTCTCCTAAAGTCGTCGTAACTGTTGTAATTATTGTTGTTGTGTTTTGTTGTTGCTCTTTTATTTCTTCTATTGTTGTTGTGCTTATTGTTGTGGATTCTGTTGTTGTTGTATTCCCTCCTTCACTTTTATTTTCAGTTGGTGGTAGTTCACTACTTGAAGAAGAAATCGTTGTTTCTTTAATTTTTTGTGTTGTACTAGTAGTTGTATTTTCTCCTTTTTCTTCTACCCCAGCTAATGGATTATCTAATTTATAAATTTTTTATTTTGTGAAGGAGGAATCGGTCAACTTTTATGGCTTGGGACTTTAAATTAACATTGCTAATACTCACACTTTATTAGTAAGCCCAGGGTATCCCTTTCCAAATCACCAAAAAAATTTCAAATAAAAATCTATTCAGCATATTCATCACTGGCCTTAACTAAATTAAGCAAATCAGGGTCAGGTCACAAATAAAGAGCTCAGCTCATATCTGTATATTTTACAGAGATTGGAAGACATTACAGAGATTGGAAGAGACCAGAAGACAGATTTATTCCTTTTTCAACGCCGTTGTCGAAAATTTTGAGAACTGTCAAAAAATGGGCAAAAAAGTGGCCACGTAGGAAAAGGGGCGAGAAGGTCAAAAAGGGGAAAATGCCCCTAAAAGGAGGTAAAAGGGAGAGTAAAGAAAAAATAGGGGGGGGGGGGCAGGCCTCTTTAACTAATTAAAAAAAACAAACTTCCAATAATATAAACTGTTGGAGGTATTTGAATATTAGATGATATTTGAGGTGGAAATTGTGGAATAATAGCTGCTGTTCCTCCTCCTCCTCCAATCGGATAATAACTTCCTATATTTAATTTATCAATTAAATTATTGTAAGGTTGTTGTTGTTGTTGTTGATTATTTAAATTACTTGTAGTATACCCAACATTATTTTCATAGGGTAGTTGTCGTTGTGGATTTATTAAATAGTATATAGGTAGGGATGATGGATTTGGTGGTTGTTTTGAGGAGGATAATGGACATCCATTTAATAAATAATAGAAATTGTTATTTGTTGTTGAACTTTGTGAACAACAAGAATTTGAAGAAGTAATGGCAACATTATTGTTATTGTTATTACAACAAGAAGAAGAACATTGTCTTAAAAATGAGGATTTTGTGAAGTATTTTGATTTTCTCGTTTTTGTTTTTCAATTCCGCCGACCCGTCCTTTTGTTTTCCAAGGTTTAATCTTCCGTTTTAGGCACCCTCTATTTTATTTTTCAGTCTCTATTTATGGATTGCTGGTTATTTTTTACTTTATTTATATCACTTTATTTGGGTACACCCCGATATACCGCGAGCCCAATGTGCTGCCGAGCTATAACTTCGTTAAAATTATCGAATCCGAGACGCTGTGGTATGGTTAGATTCAGCTCGTCGAGATTCAACGAACCATACCACGGCGTCTCGGATTTGATAATTTTAAACGAAGTTATAACTCGGCAGTACATTGGCCTGCTCCCCTTGTTATTTTTATCTAACAGCATTTAAAATGCTTAGGAAGGGGTATTTAAAAGAAAATACCTTAAAGGATTGCAATTACAACAGTTATTATTAGACATTTGCATTGAATAAATTTGATTTTTAAAAACACAACATGAAGGAGTACAACAACCACTACTTCCTCCTCCCTCTCCTCCTCCTCCTCCTACCCCATAAGTAATATATAATTCAACTTGATTAAATTTTTGAATTAATAAAATAATTAAATTAAGTAAAGATTTAAAGGAATAAAAATTTGGAAAATTCATTTGAAAAAAATTTTTTTTGACGAATTTTAGGTAGAAAAAATATTCTTTTATTTAATAACCTAAACCTTCCTTTTTTTCTCTTTGTATAATATTTAATTAGTGATGACAATAGAAACAAAAATGCTTTAAAAATGTTGCAAATAATAAAAGAAAGGTGTAAAATACATAGGCTTTTTTTGTATTATATTTAAAAAATCAAGTAAAGAAATTGCGCGGCTTTTCTGTCAAGTGGAGGAAGATTGCGTGAAGAATATATAAAAAATAAAAATTGGTGTGTAAAAAATTTTTTTAAAAAATAAGAAAGATGAAAAATGTGAGGGGCAATATTTTTTAATTAAGAAGCATTGTCCTAGTTTTTTAAAAATAAGTTTAATAATTCTTTTGTTTCTTTATTTAAATTTAAATTTATTTTTTGTAGAAAAGTTGATAAAATGAAAAACTAAAATTTTAAAATAAATTCAACAAAATCATCAAATTATTGATATGGTGACTAAAATGGTGACTATAATACAAAAATGATCAAAAACATGAATAAGATACAGTTAAGAATATCCTAGGCCAAACTCTATCTTAGTTGTCCGAGTCTGTCCATTTTGGCAACCCTATCAATCTTTATCAAAACAACCAACTCCGTCTCCACTACTATTTAATATTTAACAATTTATATTATTGTAAATTGCTCTTCAGATTCTGCTTTATCCGATTTTATTTCACTTTTCATTTTTACAAATTAAAAAAGTAGGAAAAATCACCTAGAAGTGCTTTGTACATTCATATTCTTTGTATTTTTTGTTCCTTGTATTAAAAAATATTTAGCATAAAAATCTATATGTCTGGTATTATTATTGTTTATAAATATTTTAAATAATTTAATTAATTAAAAAAAACTTTTTTTAATTTAATTTTTAATTAATTTTTAATAATAAATAATTTTATTAAATCAATTTGCGCGCTTAAATGGTAAAAAATGGCAGAATCACCCTCGGACGTGAATTATTCTAGTGGGGGGAAGGGGGGGGGGGGGAGATGGGTGGTTGGCAAATCGGATGTCTCCCCACTCCAATCCCTTCCCTCCTCTCTCGATTCCCTCCCCCCTCCCTTCTCTCAACAATAGATTTTAATTCATAAGACTTTTTATAATTTTAAATTCATTTATTTATTTAATTTAATTTTTATATTCCTTTTAATTATTCAATTAAATTAATTAATTTAAATAAATTTAAATAAATTTAGAAAGTAAAGGAAATTAAAAAAAATTTATTAAAGAATTCTTTTAAACTTCTCATGATTTATTTAAAATTCTTTGGAATTTTATTTTTATTATTTTTAATTTGGTTCGAAAATTCTGAAGGAACTAGAAAAAATAAAGATAGTAAAAGTAAACAAAAAAGTTATAAAACTGTGTTAGCTAGTCCCTCATCTCCTAATGCTCCTCCTCAAGTTTCGAAAGAAGGCAGAGTAGTAGAAAATTCTGATGGAGATGAACAAAGTTTAAAGCCAAAAAGTAAAAATAAATTAAATTAATTTATATTAAAATTAATTTTTAAATTAAGAATTAGACGATTATATGGATTTTAATCTGAAAAAGGGTAATTAATTATTTTATAAAATTATTTTTTAATTTAATATACCTATTAAATTAAATTTAAAAAATAAAATAATTAAAATTATAAAAAAGAAAAATAAAATTCCATTATTTTTTCATCTCAACCATAGAACCTTTGGATAATATTTCCTAGAGAAATTTAGTATTTTGTTCGGAAATACATTGTATTATGTAAATTAAAAAATGACCTAATTTCAATTTTATTTTTATTAATCTTCTAAATAAAGTTGATAAAAAGCCATTGGAAACAGGACAAACTTCTAATCAAAATGAAGATATTCAGGATCACGGTAACAAATTTTTTGGAATTAAAAATGATATAATGAAATCTAATACAGAAAATTCCCAACGTACAATTGCTGGACCTTTTGATATTCAGTATGGAGGTGTAGATGTACCCCGTGTTATGTCTGAAGTTAAACAAAATAATTCTCATTTACCACAGAATTTTAACTATGGAAATTCTATGCCAACACAAACTCATCCTGATAGTTTTGGCTTTGTTGATCCAAATCTCCATCATCAAGTTCCTTATCAGCCTCTCCATCAATTTTATCCACAAGTTCCGCCTTTTCATATTCCTCACCCAGAACTTCAACAAGTACCAGTGTATTACCATCATATAATGCCTCATGTTCTAATGCAACAAAATTTTGGAGGATATCCAATTCCCCAAGGTTTTAAAATAAATAAATCCTTTTAAAAACATCTATAGGAATAAAAAAAAATATTCCTTAGTCTACAGTCATAAATTCAAAGAATTCAGAAAATTAAATTAGTAAAAATTATAAGTCTTTACAAAATTTTATCACTAAAAAAATTTATTATTTTACTAAATTTATTTATTTAGTTCCTTACCACCTGAATTATCAACACGAAATACCCCCACAAGGAAATCTTTCACAACCTCCAAATCCTGGACAAGGATTTCTTCATGGAATGCCTCCACACGGAAAATGATTGCAAATGTTTGAGGAAAAATGTTTTTATGAAGATTTGAAAAGAACTTTGTAAATTTGTAGATAAGAAGTATTTGGATAAGTAAAAACACTTTATTTAAATTTTTCAAATGGGATTTTTTTTGTTATGTAAACTGGTTTTCAATTTTTTCTCCATCGGGTTCGGGTATAGGGATTCCTGTAACGATCTGAAATTGGCGCTATTTAATTACTGATTTTCGAAGATTTTTTGTACGAAATAGCTCTGAAGAGATGTTCAAGACCAAAACATGTTCTCACGACTCGATCAAAAATTAACAAGACTGAAGGCAATTTTTTTGTCCCATAGGGTAAATTTTTGGTTTACTTTTCATGCCTTAGACAAGAGCTGAAATGTTTTGTATTCTGAACTATTTTATGTAAAAGTTTGAGAGAGACAAACAGTAGTTATAAACTTTTAACTTTCACATTATTCTCGCGTAATTTTAAACATTAAATCAGATATATTTATTTATTTAAAGTATAAAATTCTTTGTCTGTCTCTTAGATTTTTCATTTATTTTTTTCGAAGTTTTAATTAAATTATTTAATCCTAAAATATTTTTTAAGTTTATATAGCATCGATTTTTCGTTTTATTATTATTTCAAAATTGAATCGTCTATCAAAAACCTCAGAATCAGGCAAAATCCGTACAATTTCTAGCCTTGATTTAAATATGATTTTTCTTTTTTAATAATAATTAATTTAAAATAATAGTAAAGCGATATCCAACTAAAAGTCGGACAAGGGACGAATGCTCGAAGCATTTAAATTAGATGGTATTACTGGTTTAAATTAAATCCTTTTAAAACATACGTTTAAATTACAACTTAGTTTATAAATTTATTGCAGATTTATGCATATTTTAGAACAAATATTTTGTTAATTATTTTTAATTTAATTGTTTATTACATCAATTATTTGTTAATTTCACATTTCAATTTGATCATTTTAGCGTCTACCATGAGGAGGGCCATAATAAGTATTTTGTCCTAAAATAATTTTTAATTTAAAAATTAAAAAATAAATTTACTAGGCACCCAACCAGTAATTTGGTCTAAAAATCCATTCAATTGTTGATAACTAGGTAAACTTCCATAAAATTCTCTTTTTACACGTTTTAGATTTTTAAGATGATTTAAATATTGTTCAATAAATTCTTTACGGTTATTTGGGGATTTTTGTAAATTTTGATTATTTTTAGCATTTATTTGAATATAAATTAAGACAAAAACAAAAATAAATAAAATTAATTTATTTGACATTATTTAAATTGAGGGAGGCTATTGAGGGAATGGATGGGTTGGTAATAATTAATTTGAAATGCTTATTTAAATATAATTAAAATATTATAGCTGTGTGGTCCAACTAATATTTTTAAGCATCTGTGTAAACTTCAAAAACTGATTTTTAGAATTTTCCAATAAAAGATTTTACATTATTCTTTAATAAAATTTTTTAGTGAATACCTATTATTATTTGTTTAGATGTCCTATTTTAAATACCTCATTAAATTAAATAAAATTATCCTTTAATTATTCTAATTTTAGAAAAATATTTATGGAAGATTTTAAAGTCAGAAAAATTAAAAATTGGGCTATACTATAATTATTTGCACAAATTATAAAAAAATGGACCGCACACAGAAAAATTAATTTGGGAAATTATTTAAATAAGCATATTTATTGGATAATTAACACAACCAATTCTCCTCATCCATAATTAATTAAAAATGCTAAATAAATTATTTTTCCTTAATTTAATTTTTGTTTTAATTTTTTGTACAATAATTAAAGCAAATGAAGAAGAATTAAAGAATCCTCCTCAAGAATTGGGAGAAGATCCTTCCATTCTTTTCGAAAAATATTTAAATCATCTTAAAAATCCAAAACGTGTAAAAAGAGAATTTTATGGACGTTTACCTAGTTATCAACAATTAAATGAATTTTTAGATGGAATTACTGGTTGGGTGCCTAGTAAGTTTATTTTTTAATTTTTAAATTAAAAATTATTTTAGGACACGATACTTATTATGGCCCTCCTTCTGGTGGACGTTAAAATGGCTATTTTAATCAAAGAACTAAATGCAATAAACAATAAATAAAATAACAAAGAAAAAAGATAAAATTAAATATAATTTCGAAAAAACTTTGAGATTTATTATTTTGAATTTATTGAAAGTTAATTATTTAATTAATAAAAAATATTTGAGAGCTATATGTACTGGATGTAAATTTGCATACAGCTATAATAACAACAGATTTTCAAATTAATAGGCTAACATTATTTTTTCGAATTAATTAAAATTTTAGCACTAAAACAAAATAAGCATTATCTTTCCATTCCATTCTATCATCCATATTCCGTATCTACCACATCTTTATACATTTTCTAATATCTTTCCCCATTCTTGAAGCACATTTAATGTTATTGAAATAATTTGTCCCGTTTTCGTAATAACATTCCTCGTTGCCAATTGAGAGTTATAGAGGAATTAGGAATTTTGAGGATTGTGCGATTAAGAGAGATGTCTGAGGACTTGGGAGGATTAAGGGTGATATCGAGTGATGTGAGGGTTAACAATAAGGAGTATATTGGGGAATTTATGAGGTGAGTCCAACACTTTTCTGATGAGTTCAACACTAAAATTTAAAACAACCATAAGAGATCTAAAAACTTTTGAGGTTTACTCCTGTTTTACGTTGGTTTTTGTGATGACAGGATTTCGACTTTGAGCAGGGAACCCTAGTTTTATTTATCTTTCTTATAATATCAATATACATGTTTACTGTTAATTTTGTAGAAAATGATTGGGATTAAATCATCCACGTCATAATTATCAAGCAAAACCCGTGTTCGGAGAAATCTTTACGGGGTTTTTCTAAGGTGGTCAAATTATCTATTAAAGTAGTTATAACTTTCAATTCTGGACGCCCTGTATTAAAAAATATTAAAAAAGTATTATTATTGTGTAAAAATATTTTAAATTATTTATTTATTTAATAATTTTTTTATTTTATTTAAATTTATTAACTTTTTATTTAAAAAAAAAGAATAAATCAATTTACGCGCTTATTGGAGGAGGAAATTAAATTTAAATGAAAAATCAATTTTCAATATTTAAAAAAAGTCAAAAAATTATTTAAAATAAATATACAATCACCCTCGAGATCGAATTAAGCCGAGGTCTGAATAGAAGATAAAAGGCTAACTTCGCTAAAACACATCCTCATAGACCAAATTGGCTGCCTTAATATAGAAAGCTGTCTATCAAGATTCAACTAGATAATTTTGATTTTATGGAATATAAATTACTAATTTAACTTTATTTGTTAATAAAAAAACAAAAAATCATATAATTTCTAATATTTTTAAAAAGATACATACACACACTGGGGTGCAAAAGTTTATCTACACTGACCAAAACTCTTTTGAGATTGTTATATCTCGAGAAAAATGCGTATGGTAACATGAATTATTTTTTAGGCAAATTCTTTCAGAAAAAGAATAATTATTTGACAAAATCTTAAAAAAAACTTTTTTGTCGAGAAGTCGAGATGCTTCTCTAAAAACTCTTAACCTTCCTTGAAATTGATGTCAATGCGCGTGCGTTATTCTTATAGAGAGAGGAGGGAAGGGGAAGGAGGGGGGGGGGGGAGAGCAGGTTGGGGAAGTGCCAATTGTCAAGCTCCTTCCCATGTCTAGCTTCTCCTGCCCACTCTCTCCCCTCTCAACAATAGATTTCTTGTAGAGAGAAAGGAGGGAAGGGGAAGGGGGGGGGGAGAGCAGGGTGGGGAAGTGCCAATTGTCAAGTCTCCTTACCGTGTCTCGCTTCTCCTGCCCACTCTCTCCGCTCTCAACAATAGATTTCTTGTAGAGAGTGAGGAGGGAAGGGGAAGGAGGAGAGCAGGGTGGGGAAGTGCCAATTGTCAAGTCCCCATCCCATGTCTGCTTCTCCTGCCCCCCCCCCTCTCAACAATAGATTTTCCTTCATAAGACCTCCTATAATTTTAAATTCAATTCATTTTTTATATTTCTTTTAATTTTTTAATTAATAGTTAATTAATTTAAATAAATTTAAATAAATTTAGAAAGCAAAGAAAATTAAAGACAAATTTAAAAAAGGATTTATTTAAAAATTCTTTTAAACTTGTCATGATTTATTTAAAATTCTATGGAATTTTATTTTTATTATTTTTGATTTGTTTCGAAAAATTTGAAGGAGGAAAAAAGGAAACTTGGAAAATTAAAGCAGTTCCCAAAAGTGATTCAATTAGTTCCGCACCTGCAGAACGAAAAAGTCAACGAAATATTGAAGGAAATAGTAGCAACTCAAGCTTTAAAGCTATAGTAATGAGTAGTCCTCCTCAAGTTCCGAAAGAAGGAAGATTAGTAGAAAATTCTGATGGAGTTAAACAAAGTGTACAGCCAAAAAGTAAAAATAAATTAAATTAATTTATATTAAAATTAATTTTTAAATTAAGAATTAGACGATTATATGAGTTATCGCCCTCCACAACAAAGAAGTCGATTAATTGGGAGCGAAATTCCGCTTAAAGCTCAGCACGGAAATAAGAACCCTACAAATTCTGAAAATACTTTAAATACTAGTACTGGTGGTCGTTATATTCCTCCGCATGCTAGAAATAATCAACTTTTAAAACAAACAAAGGATGAAGAACTTCCAATTATTAAGTATGGATTGAACTCTGATGCCGAAGAGTATGTTCCAGCCCGAAGCAAATTTATGTCTGAACAAAAAATTCCTCCAACGATAAGTCATCATGAAAATGAAGATAACAAAGTATTTTTAAATAATGAAAATAAAAAGATTAATAAAATACTTTTATTTTATTAAATTATAATTTTTAAAAATTCCTTAAAAATATTTAATAAAAAATTAAAATTTAGAATGCTACTGCAAAAACTTCAAAAATATGGAACCCGAAGAATACTTTAGAACAAAACATGGAAGTAGTTCCAATTCAACAAAATTTGAATGATCAAGAAAATGATCTAAACAACAAAGGAAATCCTCTCCCAATTGTTCAGCTCTTTAGTTCTAATTTCGATCTTAATCCTATTTTGTCAAAGAAGCAAACTGGAGATTCTTTTTTCAGTCCTCAGCACCCTATAAATTCTGGTATATCTCCTGTTGAACAATATGGTGGTCCAAATTTTGGATATAAACCAAGCCAAAATTTACATATGGGTGGCGCAAATTATAACAATCAACATCATGCTCAACCGACTGTTCACAATCCTCGAGGTCAAATTATAGTTTCTTTATGAGAAAATTGGAAACCCTTAATTGAAAATTATTTACAGCCTTTCAATTTAATCTTCTACTATATCTAATACATTTTATTTTTAATTTAAAGTTCGTTATAACGAGCGCAAACCCTTCAACAACATGCGCAAACCCTTAATTGTAAATTGATTTGAAATGATGAGTGAACAAGTTAAAGAAAATGTTTTGAAACAAATTTGTGTCCTTTATAAGGATTTTTTGGATTTTTTAAAATGGGATTTTTTAAGATTTTTGGGATTTTTAAAGATGGGAGAGTAAAAAATTGGGTTATCTAAAAGTTTTTTTTATTTTTTAAATTTTATTGGTTTTACATATGTACATATCATTTGTATTTTATTTGATAGGACTGTTTTTATTTAAATTTTTGGAGAATATTTTTTATTTCAATATATTAACAGTCCTAATTTTTTAAATATATTTTTTTGCAATTTTACTCCATTTTTGTATTATTCAAAATTTCAAACAAATGTACATATTCACAACATACAGCTATGTATAAATTATCATAGTTTTCTATATTCACATCATAAATTATTGTCAAACATTATTATTCCTGATTATTTCCGGATAAACAGAACAGGTCTGGCTCAGGTACTCAATCCAAAATTCAAATTCGAATTCAAGCCACTTAAGTAAAAAGTTGTCTTATTAGCGAGTATACGGTGTTAGTTATTATTTAATTTTATTAGAACTCCTAGTTTTAAGCTGAAATGAATATTTTAATTAAAATTATCTTCTAATATTCCTGTTTTTATTTTAAAAATACCAAAATGAGGAATGCAGCCCTAATAAGTACTATTGAAAAATATTGGAAATTATTAAAGATAACTTTAGACAATTATTTATATGCAGTAAAAATTATTTCAGAAATTAATAAAAATAAATTCTATATATCCTTAAATATGCATTCAAACACCTTTTTTGAAGCCTAAATATAACTAAAAATATCCTAATTTGAGAAATCGCATAGACATCCCTCTGCAATTTCTTTTATCATTCCTACATTAAAATAGAAATAATTGAAGATTTAATTAAATAGAAAATGGAACTTTAAAAATAGTTTTTAATAGAATTTTTTGTTACTTATTTATCAATAAATATTTAAGGTAAATTGTTTAAAATTATTATTTAAAAATACTTTTATTTTTAAAATTAATTATTTAAATATTTATTTATTTATTTATTTATTTAGCAATCAGCATTACAAAAAAGCTTACTGAATTTTTGTTTTAACGTAAAATTAATTTTATTAACATTTATTTATTACTAATTTCCCGAATGAATGACAAATTAATAATTATTTATATAAATTTTAAATGTTATTAGTCCGTAAATATTTTAAATAAAAAATATAATTGCAGACAAAATTAAAAATTTTTTTTTGGATTTTTTAAAATATAAAGCCTCAAATTAATTTCTCCATTAATTAAAAAAATAAAACTAAAAATTAATTTTATTAATTAAATTTTATTAAATAAATTATATAAATTTTATATTTTTGTTTTTAATTTTAGTAATTTAAATATCTCCGCAAATTCCTTTGCTTCAAATTAATATTTTTAAAGTTCTTTTTCTTTAAAATAATGACAAATATTCTCTCTAAATATATTCACACTTAACATTTTCTAAAATTCCAATAAAATATTAAATTATTATTAAATGCTAAATTGATTTAAATGTTATTAAAATTGCTATAAAAGTATAGAAAAAATTAGATAAAATATATCAATTAAAATATATCAATTAAAATTAGTTTAAAAAATGAAGTTTGCAATTCTTTCATTCTTACTTATTGTGGCATATAGTGCGGCAAACTATCAGGTAAGTAAATTAAAAGAAAATAAATTAGGCATTTGGTAAATTGTCTTTTAATTATTTGATTTTATAGATAATTAGAAAATAAATGAACTTAATAAAATTTCTAACATACTTGATTTTAAAATTATTTTAAACATTTACATCCCTAGCTTGAACCTACAGGCATAAATAAATGATAGTTAAAATAATTTAATTTTCAGCCACCACCTCCACCACCGCCTCCTCCCCCACCTCCACCTCCGCCGAAATATGAATATGCTCCTCCACCGACATATGCACCTCCTCCAACACAACCTCCTCCAACACCAGCCTACTACAAACCTCCTCCTCCACCACCTCCTCCGCCACCTCCACCCCCACCACCGCCTCCACCACCGCCACCTAAAAGCTATGGATATGCTCCACCACCAACATATGCACCACCACCCCCAACACAGAAGAGTTATGGATATGCTCCTCCGCCGACATATGCTCCACCACCACCTCCCCCACCACCACCACCACCACCTCCACCACCGCCTCCACCAAAAAGTTATGGATATGCTCCACCACCAACATATGCACCTCCACCACCTCCATCCCCTCCACCATATGGTGCCCCACCTCAGTATGCCCCTGCTCAACCGTTTATCCAAGCATAATATGTCTTTGAGGAAGTAGATCAAATGAAGTAAAGAAATGAAAGATTTAAAAAAGATAAACAAAATAAAAATTTTTTTGTAAATGTTTTTAATAAAGGATGAATAAAATTAAAGTAGTAAATTTATTTTTCACAAGATTAGGCAATTGAAGTGGTACCTATATTACATTCATCATGAAAAAGAAATTAGAGATTCAATAGAATAAAATATTTACTATTTTAAAATTAATTAGAGAGACAAAATTAATCCTCCAATAATTTATTTTAATGAACAATTAATTTTAATTAGGTATTTTAATTAAGGAAATAAATAATTCATTAACTGAATTTTCATAAATATTTTTACTATCGGTTAACAAATTCAACAGTCCAAAATTACCTTATATCCTTTAATAACTACCCTGGGTAATTATTATTTCAACCTTCCGCTAGAGGGAGTAATTAATCGAGTGAGGGTAATTATACGAGGTTTGAAATTAGAACGTGTTTTGGGGCATCTGTTTGGGGGTAGTTATTGTTTCAATATATCGCTGGGTGGGGTAATTAATGGAAGTGTGGTAATTATTTAAGGGAGGGTAATTAATACAGGTTATACGGTAGTTAGAATTATTTAATAAACTATTTTTAACTTAAATAAATATTTAACATATAAATTAAAATTAATAATAAAATAATTTTGGGAAAAAGATTCTTCTAATAAAAAATTGGAAAAATAATATTTAATTAAAAAAATAAATGTAGCAATTTAATTATTTTGTGTGTTTTTTATTTATTACTAAACATGTGATAAATTTTGTTTGTTAAAAATTTAGTTGTTTAACCTTGATCGCCACACAGTTTTTTTTTAAACACCTTACTAATTTAAATAAAAAAATAAAAGTTTTAACAAAAAATTAGTAAAAAATATTTTAAAAATATAATGGTACAACCAAACACTTTTTATTAAATGATGGATTAAAAATTTTAGAAAAAATGTTTGTTTTGACAAATAAACTTTTTAAATTCGTCAATGCCATTAAAATCCCGTACCTATAAAAGGCTTGAAAATATTTTTGAATTAACAATAACAGAAAAAACTTTTAATTAAAAAAAATAAATTTAAATATGGCCTCTCAAAAATTTATTTTCTTTTTGGTTATCTCGTCGATTTTATTGTTTGCTATGTTAATGCCGGAATATACTAATGCTGAGGTAGGGAGAAACTTGAATTGATAACCACGATATCTCTTCTTTTTCTCTTAATTAGCTCATGTTTCCCTCAATCCTTATATCCCCATAATCTCTCTTTTCCTTTACTCACGATATCCACTTTATTCACTTCACTCTATTAATACTGAAAAAATTATTGGGATGTTTTTTTATTTTTCCCCCAATATAGGTGGGGCTGTACTAAGGGTGGGGCTCTATGTGAGGGTGGGCTGTATTTTTCAACTATCCTCCAAAGTGGGGCTGTATTAGAGGGTGGGGCTCTAATATAGGAAATACGGTAATTATTTGGAAAAAGAACAAATTTTAAACTTTTTTTTAAATCTTTTTTTACAGTCAAACTATTCTATGAAATATTTAAAATTAATTTAATAAAAAAATAATAATTTTAGAGTTGTCAAGCATGTTTCAAGCGTGTCTGTGGCCCACCTTGCACTGCTAGCTGTTCTGCTTGTAAAAATTGTCAAGATATTAATTTCAAACCCCAATGTAGAACTCCTTGTCGCGGATTTCATGGAAAATTGGTTATTCCACCTTGCGTGTAAAATATTTAATTTTTTTCAAATTTCATATTTTTAATTAAGGGGTAAATAAATGTTCAATTAAAGTGAAGAAAGAAATAAAAGAAAATATTAATGAACTATATAATTATAGTTTTATTAATTTAATGATTTGTAATTTTAAATAATAAAATATTATTTGCATTTTTTATTTTTAATTCACCAATTTAATAGGAAGAAAAATATTTCATAATTAAATTAACAAGAACATTTTGTTCCAAAATTCTTGGAACCCTAATTTTTAATCCGACATTTTGTAGCTTCCGTTGATTTTTCGGGTTTTGAGATAACGATAATTGGATGTTTGTTTTTGTTTTTATTAAAATTAATCCACACTTTTGAAATTCTTTGATTGGTAAATAAAGATTTTACAAGAAGGTGTAAGAATTTGGATTTTTTATCGTTTTACCAACTCTCAAACAAAATATCCCAATTTATTTCAAATATTATACAAGTATTATTGTCATACTTTTAGAAAAAATTAATTCAGCATTTTATTTTTTGATTATTCTAATTTTCTCTGGCTTTTACTTAAAAATTCACAAAAACAGCTTTAAATTTAAATATTTAAAAAGAATAATTTTTTAAAAATATATTTTTCTTAAAAAGATGATCTAAAATAAATTTCATCTGGAGGGTTATATGCATAATTAGCTGTTGATGTATCAATTATTGGAGGAGATATTGAAAAACCTCCATCTCTATGCCGAGGAAGACATTTGCCAGATTGATAGGGTTTAAGTAAATGTTGTGGAGGTTCAGCAATTAAATAACCGCCAACAGAACGATGACGTTCTGTTGAAGGAGAAATATTGGCGAGAGAAGAGGGAGGAGATGTTGGTGTATATAAATTACGAAAATATTTATTTTGTTGTTGATGATTATTATAAAAATGCTTTAAAAATAAATGAAATTTATATAATAATTATCCAAAATATTTCTAACCAACGGAATGTGTCCATTGGCTGTAGTGGATTCAATTAATGAAGGGGTTCCATAACTACTTCCAGGACATGTTCCACTACTTTGTTGTGATGCTGTTGAGCTACCAATAATTCCTAGTGAATATTTTTCTGATAACATTAATTGGCGACGTGAATGAGCATTTCTTCTTTAATTATTTAAAATTAATAATTTATTAGTTAATTTTATTTTTCCACCTTCTATTTGTCCAATAAAGAACTAACATTGCCAATGTTGAGGCAAAAACACAAATAATAAAAGCACATAAAAGAGCTATTGCCCAATGATAACTGACTAATGATTGTGTAGGAGATGATGAAGGAGGGGATGAAGAAAAGGAAGAAGAGGAAGAGGAAGAGGAAGAATGTCCATTATTATCTTCTAAAGTACAACAACCACCCAAAATATGTTGACAACAACCTAATTGACAAAGTAAAGAAATTGGGCGAAGTGTTGAGGATGTTGTTGATAAAGATGAGATATTTCGATAATGACACAATACTTGACTACTTCCTGTTAATTGTTCTTGGCCTAAAAGTTCACCTATGTCTGAGTAATCATTCCTCCTTAAAAGAACACGGGGAAGTTGTTGTTGATTTACTGCAACGCTAAAATATTTTTTTGAAAATTTCTGATTGTTTTTGGTCATTCGGGGAATTAAATATTGTTTTCCCGGTTTTCTAAAAAGTAAAGCAGCTGATATAGCTATTTCTCTCCTTTAGCTAGTGAAAAAGGTTAATCGGCGGCTTGGAGCGAACCAGCATCTTCAGTAAACCGGACTAATGTGTTAGCCATTACATCACGCCGTCTACTGCACAGCCTTAGGAATTAAATAGCTGTATGCTTTACAAAAATAAATTTTGACTTTTCTGTTAAATTTATGGGTTCTTATAATCAGATAAAAATAATTATTTTAAAAATACTTTATCGAATTGCTATCCAAACTCTCAGCTTTATTAACATTAAAATTCCTCGATTTTGTAATTAATTCCATTCTAGCATTGGGACTTTTTGGTAATTTAGACCAACGATTGTTATTATAATAATTACTATTGTTGTTGTTAATATTAAGGGCAGCAATTGTTGCCGGAGGTGGTAATGAATCTAACGAAGGCATTTAAACTTTCCTATGTATTTTTAGACTAAAAATGTTTTTGCGTCGTGACCTGCTCTTTTATTTAAAGAAATATTGTGAATTGTGTTTAGTTGTTTAGTACATGTAATGATGTGCAATTCTTAAGTGGATTTAAAGAGATATTTATGGATATATATTTTAGAAGAAGATGAGAATAATTTAAAGAATTGAAAAAGATTTCTTTTTAAAATTAAACAAAGAAATATTTTAATGATTTAAAATTTTTTGGGGCAACATTCAATCACCCAAAAAAGGTATTTATTGGATGATTTTAAAAAATTTAACGGGATAAAATAATATTATAAAAATATTAATAAAAAAGTTAAAATATTTATGGGGTAGATTTCAAGTCTAAAATTCTCAAATAGTCTTTAAATAAAAATAATTCAACAAATTATTTCTTAATTCGGTTCTGATAATAGGTACATATTTCACAAATATAAACACTATTTTTCCAAATAAAACCATACTCCCAAAATCCTACTCCCAATAAGAGCCCCACTCCCTAATACAACCCCACTTTTGAGGATCGTTGAAAAATAGAGCCCTCTCTCAATTAGAGCCCCATTCCCTAATACAGCCCCAGTCTGGAGGATTTCTTGTTAGAATTTAATATAATTTTTATTATCAAATAAAAATATATACTGTTTAAAAATACAGCCCCATGAGGCTGTATTTGGAAAAATATGTTTATTATACATAAATTATGTACATATTTTATTATTTTAACAAATTTTTGAAAGGTGTGAATTATAAAGGAAAAGAGAATCTATAACTCAAGTGACATTGAAGTAAAAGAATTGAGGAACAACGGGATATATAATTTTTATTTTCAAATAAAAATATACCGGTCAGTAAATATTTACTCTACTCCTTTCCGTAAAATAATTCTTTTCTTAGCGTGACAGTTTGATTGTTTGTTCATCTGCTAATGTAAGAAGAATAATGACAGGCCAAACAAATGACCACAAAAATTATAAAGAACGGAGGTAGTAGAGTTTGAATTATTGTTTGATTGATTTAAAAATGGATTTTTAAAAAATAAATATTTTGGTTGGTTTTGGATTAATTATCTAAATTATCTGTTAATACAAAATAGAAAAAAAGGGACTGTAAAAAGGAGTAATTCTGGCTTATTGGCCTATAACAGGCTTCTTAGGTTAATAAACCAATTAAATAAATTTATTTTGGTTTAAAAAATCATTGTCTTGTTTATTAAATAACTCTAAAATTATCTGCTAATATGTACATATAAAATTATTTTCATTATTTTCTAGCTGGTTAAAGCCTGCCAATTTATTTTTAAAAATATTTTAATTAATATGAAGGCGAATCTTTAGTATTTTTTAACCTTTTAATTTTAGTTATTTGTGTTTGTATAAATTCCAAAAATTATTTAGGTATATTTTACTAAAAATTATTTTCATTGTTTTATTTCCATAATAATTTCAATTTATTTTATCAATTATTAAAAAAACTTCAAAATAACCAAGGCATATATTAAAAACAAATAATTGTAGACAATACAAATATATATAATGTTAAAAACAAATAATAATTATTTCTTCAAAATTTATTCATTCCTTAAATTCACCAATTTTGTAAAGAAATTTATTTGTACCAAAATTAGCTTCAACTGAACAACAAAAAAGACTAACATTTGGATAAAACAAAAGAGAATCCTTATCATCATTTAACTCAACAAAAATTGTTTTTCCTTTAAAAATAAATTTAAAAAAATATTTTTTATTTTAATTCCACCTTTCTTTTTTCCATTAAGAGTAAAGAAAAGTTGAGCAGAATTATTTTCATTATTTAATTGTGGAAAATAAATTCCACATCCAATTATATCCATAGGTTTAATTAAACATCCAAACATCGGAATTTGTTTATATGGAGAATTTAAACTTGTTTTTGAACAAAATAGACCGTTGCTACAAACACGGAATTGTTGGGAATTGTCTTTAAATAAACCAATTTCGACTGCCCAACTAAAAATTTTTAAATTTTCCCAACTAAATTTTTTAATTAAAATTTAATTTAATCCTTCCATACCCGCATTCTTCTTCAATTTCAGGAATTATTTTAACTTCAAAGTAATATAAAATATTATTTTCTTTTGAGGGAGTAAATCCTTTTTCGGAAATTATTTTAAATGATCTATTGATACCTTTTAAAAAATATTATTATTTTAAAATTTTAATCTAAAAAAGGTACTCTTCCGTTAGACCGCAAACTGAGCAACAGCTGAATTTGAACAGCTATAACTTTCTGATGCTTGATTCAATACAGATGAATTTTATATCATTCGAAAGCCCTCGATAAGCTCTATCTTTTACCCAACTGTATTGAACAGGTCAGATCAAGCATAAAAAAGTTATGCCCCGATAATAGTGTAAAACAACGATTTCTTGCACTTTTTGACATGCAATTTTTTATGAGTGATCAGACCTGATCTATACAGTTGGGTAAAAGATAGAGCTTATCGAGGGCTTTCGAATGATATAAAATTCATCTGTATTGGATCAAGCATCAAAAAGTTATAGCTCTTTAAAGTCGGCTAATACTCAGTTTGCGGCCGATTAACGGAAAAGTACCCTAAAAATAACCATTTTTAACAGTAGAAAGATAATATTTAGCAATATTATCTCGTAAACGAACAATTCCATTCCCTTTTTGACAAAATCCTCGTTGACTTATATTTACACAATTATTTCTACAACAACCCCAATCAAGTAAAATATTCGCCCATTTATTATTTTTTAAATTAATTATTTTCTTTTTTGAAAAATAAAAATAAATTTAAAAATTAAATTTTAAAGTTTACAATAAAAGGGTAATTATCAAGTTGTAGAATTGAATAATCAAATATTTGTTTACCAAGTAAAAAGAAATTGCTACCCGCTAAAAAATTAAAGGAAAAAATTATTTTTGTGGAGCCGTTACAAATATTAATTGAATGCCAAAAGATCTTATTATAAATCTGACATTTTATTTATAATATTTTCAATCAAGTATTTAATTTTTGGT